TGCGCATCTCACGCCGAGGGAGCCTCGGCGTGGACTCCTCCGTATCCCCTTCACGGCCATCGCTACTTCTCCTTTTAGGGTGCAGCCGTTGCACACGCATGAGCAATCCCGGGCGCGAGTTGTGCCGTGCGTCGCATGCCGTGCCGTGAAAAGGAAGGGCGCCTTCGGCGGAGATGGGTGCTTGCGGGTTGCGCCGGGTCGCGTCCCGCTGGCAATGCGCGCCCGTAGTGCGTCGCGTAAACCACACGAATTCTCGCAGCGCGTGCAGGGGGAGGCGCCCATCCGCTTCTTTTATATATATATATATATATCCTTCTTCGTCTGCGAGGGACGTATTCCTTCCCCCAGCGGGGCCAGCAAGGCCGCTGGGCGAACGCCCCGCATATGCCGGGGGACCCGCCACGGCGCACGCCGCCTCCCCCCGCGCTCTCAGGGCCACTCCGCTCTCCCTCCACCGGGCCCGCCCTCTTCGCCGGGGCCGGGTTCAGGTTGGGCGCCCGGCTCTCGCAAGCGGCAACTGCTGACCGCGCGCCGCCCGGGGGCCGAGGGGCCGCTTCCGTACGGTGCGCCGCCCTCGCGCGAAGAACAGCCCACCCGATGTGTTTGACCTGCAAGCAGTATATGCATTGGAGGCGTCCCGGGTCCTCCGTCACACCTAAAGTCGGAAATATTTCACTAGTCTACCGATGCATTATCAGCGCGAGAGGTGCCGCCGCACTTCGGCGCGCGCAGCTGTTGGGCGGGAAGCCCACTGCACTTGCCCCGGGCCCCCTGCGCACGCCGGCGCCCAAAAAAAGCCCAACTGCCGCCACCGAGGGCCAACAACGAGTCGAAGGGACTGCCCGCCGGTCCTTGGCTCCCCCTTTGCGAGGCACTGAGTCCCGGCACCGCGGCCGCCGGATTTGCCATGGGCCTCCGTCCCTGATCGAGGTGAGGCGCGCGCGGGAAGTTCCACACAGCCCCCTGGCGCGTCGTCCACTTCACCGCACCGCACCGCCGCCAGGCCCGCGTGCGCTGGCCCATTCGCCGCTGCCGCGGCGGCGACACATGTCTTCCGCAGGGATTCGTTCTCGTCGGCTTGAACGCGCGTGCTGGAGGCATTCGCAGCTGGCGCAAAACACAGACCCACTAGAGAAATGGGAAACCAGTGGAGCGGAAGGTGCGCCCGCCTCGCGGCGGTGCAAGCCCAATCGCGGGCCGTGATCAGCGCCCGCCGAGGGTGCCGGGCCGTGCCGGCGGCACCGCTGCTTCGCTCTGTGGCCGGCAAACGCGCGCCCGCGCTGGCTTGCGCCGCGACAGCCTTCGCGCACCGCAGAGAGAACCTGCAGTCCGGGCCGCGGGCATCTGCCCCACTTGCCGGCGCACGCTGGCCGCCCTCTCCGCCCGAGCGCCGCCACGCGAGAACACGCGCTGGTAGGAGGGGGCGCCGCCTCCCCCCACCAGCTCCGCGCGGTGGCCGCAGTGCAGAGCGACCGGCGCCGCACTGCCGCCACCTCCGTTTCCGCCCGCGGCCACAAGCGACAGGCAGCCGCCGCCGCATCACCAGCGCCGTCCGCCCAGCGTTGGGACTCGCGTTTGGCGAAACCGCGCGCGTGCCTCTTGGCGCCGCGAACATTCTTCCTTCCGGGCGGCGGAACGGTGCCGGCAGCGCCCCGTCAGTGAGACGCGGCCACCGCCATCTGCGGCCAGACAAACTTCAAAATAGCCTCCGGAGAGCAGTGGCCATAACAAGAAAAAAAACAACAGCAATGAAAGCGAGCACACACGCACACTCTCAAGACGGGAAAAAAGGCGCCCTCGCGGTGGGGCCTTCGGCTCTCGCCCCGCGCCCGGGGAGGGACAACACGAGAAAATCAAAACACTTCGGCCTATTGCGGCTACCGCTGGAAATAGAACGGTATCTATTCATAACTCTAAAACAAAAAAAACAGTTGATCCATCCAGGCGCTTTGTGTGGCGGCTGGGCTCGTCGGGAGCTCGCGTAGCGGCTGTCCGCAGCCGCCGCGCCCCGCAGGAAACAAAACAAAAAGAAACACAACGTTTTTCTTCGGCCTCCTCCGGCCCATGCACCTCCAACGGAATTCCAACACGGAAACAAATACATACATAAATTGGGAGGGAGCGGCGCAAGGTGGGCACCCGCCCGAAGAGCAGTTTAATTAAAAGGCGGGAGGCACGGGGGTCGTCACGCCGGCGCCGCCTGCGGCCCCACACGCAATGCGCACGCTGCACCGCGGCCCGGCGGAGCACACTCCCCGCAGAAGAGGGACGCCCCCCGCCACCCCCAGTGTTCCCGGCGCACCGACCGCGTGGAAGAGCCGTAACACAACGAAAAAGAAATAAAATGAAGGCTAAAAGAAAGAAAAACAAAAGACGAGAAAAAAGAGCCCTCGCAGTGGGGCCTCCTGCTCTCCCCCACATGAAGTAAAAAGGGAAAACGCAACAAAACACGAGAGAATAAACAAAGCGGCCAATTGTGCCCGCCGCTCCAATGCTACTGGGGTTTACCCACAATGCGAAGGGGGGGAAAAAAAACAATTGATCCATCCAGGGGCGTTTATGTGACGGCCGGGCTCGTCGGGAGCTCGCGTAGCGGCGGCGGGGGGGGGGGGGGACAGAACTGCGCCCGCCAGCTCCCCAACGCGCCCTGTATGGAAACAGGGCAGTTGACGCGTGCAGGAAACAAAACAAAAAGAAACACAACGTTTTTCTTCGGCCTCCTCCGGCCCATGCACCCCCAACGGAATTCCAACACGGAAACAAATACATACATAAATAGGGAGGGAGCGGCGCAAGGTGGGCACCCGCCCGAAGAGCAGTTTAATTAAAAGGCGGGAGGCACGGGGGTCGTCACGCCGGCGCCGCCTGCGGCCCCACACGCCGACGGCAGGCCGCAGTTACACGCACCGACGAACGTGGACGGTGACAAACGGGTCCCCCGGCCCAGAATGCACTTCCTCCGTCGCAGGCAGAGTTGACTGGCTGAAGCTGCTGCGTGGCGGACGCCTCCCGAGACTCTCATCCCCCCCAACAGAGGGGTTGGGTACGTGCAGCTCATCGTCACCGCGAAAGAAGGACATGAGCGGCAGAGACGTTTTACGTGGATTGCATTCCACGGAAGCTCTCTTGGCGCCTTTCTCCATCACGTGGCCCATTTTGACCGCCAGCCGTTCCATCGCCACGCGGCAGGCGTCCTCCTCGTTGCCCGCTCTAACGGCATGCGGCACAGCGACTCTCCAACGCTCGCAGAGAGGACGCAGCGACTTCAGCCGCTGCGGGGCCGCGAAGGTGCCGAGCAGCACAGCCAAGACAGACACGATGGTGTGCGAGACGGCGCTCATTGCGGTGGACGCGGAGGCCTCGCCGCTGCTTGACGTGTCCCCGCCGTCGCCGTCAAGTTCCGGCATCAAACGGTCAAGCCGCAGCGGGGCGAAGGTGCGCCCGGGGACGGCGTCCAGCTGGTACATCTCCACCGGCCTCGGCACCCCGCGCAGCGCCACCGCGCCCAGCGCAGTCACCTCCAACTGCTCCCGCTCAGCCGTGCTCAGCGCCAAGTACGCCGCACGCGTCAGCAGCACCTGCCCGCCGTTCCCCACGCCCTCCGTGCGCGCCGCCACGTTTGCCGTGTCACCGTAGTAGTCGTACCCCTTCGTCACCTCGTCGTGCCGGATGTCGCACAGCCCGGTGTGCACCCCGACACGCACCCGCAGGCCGTTCCAGTACTGCTGGTACACCGCGGCGTCCAGGCGCG